TTACCTCTACATTATAACTACAAATATAAGGTATTTTCAAATATACTTTTGCTTTTTGCTTTTTTTTTTTTTTTTTTCAACAAAAACCCAAGTTCGGCTTTTGTTGAAAAAAAAAAAGCAAAAAGCAAAAGCATATTTGAAAATACCTATAGTATATATATGCGTATATATGTAATCTACCTTTAGGGTTTACCAGGCCTAATTGGGTATAATATAGAGGCCCGGAACCAGCCCGATATTTTTTAGGCCTGACCTGAGCCCGGCCCGCTTTATAAAAATAGAGCCCGAAACTAGGCCCAAGCCTACCCGGCCTACTCTGCACCCTACTTGGAAGCAGTCCTAATGCAACAAAATAAAGGGGATTATCACCTTATCGCCTATTATTCACAGAAATTTATACTAGCAGAAATAAACTATGATATATATGACAAAGAGTTGCTTGCAATCATGGCAGCCTTTAAGCAATAACAATATTACTTAGAAGGAGCCCAACATCAAATAACTATCTATTGCGATTATAAAAATTTGTAATACTTTACTACCACAAAAAATTTTAGCTGCCACCAGGCCAAATAGTCTCTTCTCCTCTCAAGCTATGACTTCATGATTGCATTTCAGCCAGGTAAAAAATAGAGAAAGTCTGATGTCTTATCCTGAAGATCAGACTACCAACCCCAAGATAGTGATAAAGCAGTAATATAGCAACACACTATATTACTTAAGGCAGAAAACCTCTGTATTAATACTACACTCATAACCCCTATTGATACAACTTTAAGAAGCCATATTCAGGAACAAATTAAAACAGATCCTCTTGCAGTTGATGTGATTAACCAGCTAACAAACCACAGTGATGACATAGGTACACGTTCTGATTACCACAAATTCCAATTAAAGAATAGACTACTATTCAGAAAAGGTTTATTATATATACCCAAAGTACTGGAGAGGTTGAAAGTATTACAAGCTAGACACGACTCTAAATTAGCTGGGCATTTTGGGGTTGCCTTAACGGTGGAACTGGTGACATGGGACTTTTGGTAGCCGGGGCTTCGATCTTTTATACAAAAGTATATAAAAACCTGTGATATCTGTGCAAGGTCTAAACATTCAAGACATAAACCCCGTGAATTGTTGGTACCCTTACCTATATCCTCACATCAATAGCAATCTATTTTATTACAGATTTATCTCTATTAGCAGGCTTTGACTCCATCCTCATTGTAGTGGACCAGTTAACTGAAATAGCATATTTTATAGCATGTAATAAGAGTATTAGTACTAAACAGACAGCACAAATAATTTTCAGGGAAGTGATTTGATTACATGGTGTTTCAAAAGAAATTATCTTTGATAAGGGGCCCCAATTTGCTTCAAAATTTTGGAAGCACTTACTTAGGGCACTAGAAACTTGAGCTAATTTATCTTCAGCATATCATCCTCAATCAGATGGTCAAAGCGAGAGAGTTAACCAAGTGTTAGAACAATATCTTAGGTGTACAATCAACTATCACCAAGATAACTAGACAGACTTACTCTCATTGGCAGAGTTCACATATAATAATTCAATCTATACATTCACAAAAACCTCATCTTTTTTTGCCAACTATAGGTTTTACCTATACTTTGTTCTCCAAGTACCTTTTTACTCTCTAGTTTCATCTGTTGAAAACAAAGCTAAACAATTACAACAGATAAAAAAAGACCTTAATTGATAAACTAAAAATTGTACAAGAGCATTACAAAAAAAATGCAAACCAATTTCATATTAAGAGTCCTAATTTTAAGAGGTGATAAGGTTTGGCTATTACGACGCAACATTCATACTAAATGGCCGTCTGAGAAACTAGATTATCAAAAGTTAGCCTATTTACTATCTGTGAAAAAGATTAATACAGTATCATACTGTTTAACTTTACCTCCAGCATTCAAAATCTATAACACCTTCCACATATCTTTGCTGGAGCCATACATGGTGAATACATTCCCTGGAAGAGCTATTGAACTACTACTGCTCATGGTAGTTGATAAAGAATATGAGTATGATGTTAATGAAATACTTGACACAAAGTTAATCTGAAAAAGTTATATTACCTGGTGGACTGGAAAGGCTATGATATAAACAAATGTTCATGGTAATCTGCAAAAAATGTGAGTCACGCAAAAGAAGCAGTTAAGGCTTTTCATCATTGATATCCTGATAAACCTGGACCCATTTCTGGTAATAGATAAAAGAAGAGATGCAAAAAATTTAAGAAGAGGGTGGTGTAACAGCCAAGCCTGTAACCCTAGCCTGTGAATCAAACCTGACGCGATCCTGTGACCCAAGCCCAAGGCTTAAGCCCAGAACTCAAATATTTCTGCCTGACACATGAAGAATGTAGTCATAAATTAGTAATAGTTAAATTACTAAAGCACATAAATTATGTAGTCATTAACAATAACAATAATAGTCAAATTGCACAAGCACATGAATTATATAGTCATTAGTATAGCTTAGTAATAGCCATGAAAAGAGCGTATGAATTATATTGTCATTAGTGTAGCTTAGTAATAGCCATGAAAAGAGATAAAAGCACAGGTTGAAATCAAAAAATCTTCTTTGTATATTCAAATAATCAGCCTAGATGATAGAAGGACGATATAGTAATAGCTATGAGCCGATATGATAAAGTATTAAAAAAAGCCGATATGCTGAAGATTATGGTAAAATATAATGCATATACAGAAATTAACATTCGAATATTGTTAAGATGATTTGTTTATCATGTAAAAGATATAAGGCCAATATGAACAAGATTTTTTAATGATAGTTTGATGATTAGATAAATCATTAGCCGATATAGTGAAGGCTAATTTGTAAAAAAATTTTATCCATTTTATATGATATTGTACTGATATAATGGATAAATATGAATAAATTTGGAATATTATTAACAAATTAAAATATTGGTTTAAACGATATAATAATGTTGCTTGATGATTAATTAGCTGATATGATAATGTTATTCAGTGATTATATTAATCATGAGATGATATTGTAACGACTATTAAATAAAAATTCTTTATATGACATATTGCTGATATAGTGAATTATAGGATATTATATTTATAATAAATAAATTTTCTAGTATTGTCTTATACGATATGTTACTCATTTTAAATAATATTTTATATGATTATTATTTATTTTACTAATTACTTAATAATTGGTAAGTTGTTTTTAGAGGATAGTAGACTGATACGTTTTAGCTAGTTAATACTATATACAACATATCGGCTAACCGATATTATAAAAATATTAGACGATAGTTTATTGTTTAATATATCATTGACCGATATAATCATTATATAATTTGATTTTATATTTATAAATTTATTATTTTCAATAAAATTTTAAAAATTAAAATAAAACATTAATATATTAACATTTAATTATCTCTTTTTTGACTTTTTCTTTGTTTTACTTTCACTACCCTTTTCTCTTTTTCTCTTTCTATTTTCACTCTCCCTACTTCTACCCTCACTTTCACTCTCCCTTCTTTTACTCTCACTTTCACTCTCCCTTCTTTTACTCTCACTTTCATTATTATCACCCTCACTAGCATCGCCACCAATTCTTGTTGTATCTGACTTATCATCAGATTTTGGTGAAGAGATTTCCATTGGGAGGTCTCTACTACCTCTTGATGCTTCTGCCGTTTGTTCATCTGTTGGTGCATTTTTTAATACGGTTGTGGCTTTTTTTGCCAATGTTGCTTTAGTTGGTGTTTTTGCTGCTGTTTTTGGTATTGCTGCAGGTGTTGTTGTTGTTTCTGTTGTTGTTTCTGCTGGTTTTGCTGCTGGTAATGCTGTTTCTTTGTCAGCAGATTGAATAGTTTCGGTAGGGCTAGGTAGAGGTGATTCTTCCTCATCATCATCATCATTTTCTTCTTCTTCCTCTTTTTCTTCTCCTTCTTTTTCTTTTTCTTCTTTGTCTTCTTCTTCTTCATTCTTTCTTCTTCTTCTTGTGTATAATACATTTCTATCATAATTACCTCTTTTTCTTTTAATTTCCATATGACATATCTGAGCACCTGAATCTCTGCTTGCATAACTTTGCTCGGTATCTGAATCTCTGCTTTCAAGACTTTGCTCGGCACCTGCAACTCTGCTTTCAAGACTTTGCTTAGCACTAATTTCTGTATGACTTTGTTTAGCACCCCTCTCGTGACTATGTTTTTGTTTTACTCCTGCTTTTTTTCTTACTTTTCTTATCTTTACGTAGATCTTCATTTCCAGTATCAAAGTCTGCATCAAATTCATAATCTGAAAGGTTGTATTTAGTAATAGCTTCATCAGATAGTGCCCATCCTGGGAAATCTGGTAGTGGTTTCCTACTTTTATTCACATCCTCCAAATAATGCCGCTTGTGCATCTTGGTATTTATAGGCTGCAGTTGTTTCACAAATGGGTCTATACGCTTATGTAAAAGCCATTTTAACTAAATAATATTAGGCCGATAGGCTTATTAATTTAATATTCATATATAAATAAATAAATAAATAAAAATATATATATACATACATGAGGTCCTCACTACCATTTATCGATACATACTAACCTCTTAACCTTCTTTCCTGCTGCCTGTGATGCTTCTTCATCCGTTCTCCACTCTTCATTGGACTGATAAGTATTTTTACCTCTACTCTGAGTTATCAATTTCAAATCCGCCTTCTTGTATCTTTTTATTTGTTTATTTCCAGCTCTTAGAAGAAATGACACCGATTTTCGTCTCCTTCTCCTCTTCTAAATTATTAAAAATAATAACTTAAATTAGAATATTTCTCCAAAAATTATTTCATCTACAAATCACTTAGCCGATATATTGGCTAAGTGATTTGTAGATAAAATAATTTTCGAGGGATTGATTTAAGAAAAATGATTAAATTCAGTGTTGGCATTTGGACTACGTCCATCCATGTCTGTATCTTTACCGAAAGTTTCAATCTTGCTCTTTC